CCGCCCGCCGCAAGGGCAGCGCCGCGGGGTCGAGAGCGCACCTCCTTCCGGTCGAAGCGGAGCGGGCCGCGCAGGGCTCGAATCACGCAGAGGAGGGGAAGGACCCAGACCCCCTCGAGTAATGAAAAAATCATGACGGGAGGTTTTTCCTGCTTTTCGGCCTTTGGGGGCCCTCACCGGGCCTCGGGAGCGTCAAAAAACCACTCAGGATGCAAAGCCGGTCATGGGGAAAGGGTCGGGACCTCTGGGCGTCGACGTAATGAAAAAAACATTACGTCGGGGGTCTGGGTACGCAGAGAGGGGGAAGGAGGAGGGGGGTGCAGCCTCAGAACGAGGCCGCGAGGAGGCAAAGCCTCGGAGCCAGGCGGCGTCGACGTCGCCGACCTTGCAAAAAGGAGCGCCCTCTGAAAACCGGTGGCGAAGTACGGCCGCGAGGGAGACGCGCGGCGCCGGGATGTCTCGGGCCCCCCGAGGCCCGAGGCAGGGCAACCTCCTGGCGGCGCGCACAGAGGGCTGGAGGGAGGGGGGGAGGCTTCTCGGAAGGAGGCTGCTTCTCAGAAGGCGCCGGCCCTGCATGTGTTTTGTCTCTCTCTCTCTCTCTCTCTCTCTCTCTCTCTACAACTATATTTATTTATATGTATATATATATTATATATGTATATGTGTATATATATATAGAGAGAGACAAACTGACAGACAGAGAGAAGAGAGAAGAGAGAGAGAAAGAGAGAGAGAGAGGGAGAGAGAGAGGAGGCCCGCGCCTTCTGAGAAGCAGGGGTGCTTCTAAGAAGCCCATCCCCCCGCCCCCATCCCCTCCCCCCCTCTGCGCGTGGCTGCACGCCGCCCGCTGCGAGAAAAAAGGAGCGCGGCGCCGGGCTCTCTGGGGAAACCAAAAGGTACCGATACCGTACTCTCCGGACCTCTCCTGGGGTGCGCTCTGACCAGAATTTCGAGGCGAATCCAACGGTGGCGACGACAGAGGCCTAGGAGGCCCAATTACGCTACCGAGGAACCCCACATACTTATTTTATGTCACGCGTGTGCACAAACCATGTCACATCTCGCTTCGCCATCCTGACGAGAGACTGACCAGACCAGCCAGATCAGCCAGACCAGCCAGACTGACCAGACCAGCCAGATCATTCGTTCCAGCCATAACCAGCCAAAGTAATCAGACCAGCCAGCCAGGCCAATCAAGCAGACCAGCCAGACCAACCATATTAGTCATGCCAACAACCGCAGCCATAATCAGCCGGACTAACCACACGAGCCAACCAGGCCAACCAACCTGGACCATCCGGTTCAAGAGAATGGTGCACGGAGGTGGCAATTCGGCCACTGCACATTTTGGGGGCATGCCTGTGGGCGCCTGCTGTCTTTGAGCCTGCTTGCGCCGAGGTGTCTACAGTTAACCTTGCTGAGAATACTTCTGCCGCATACACGCCTGAGGCACTGGTGCATACTGCCCAAGATATAGACTCCAGAAAATGTCAAGGCTGCTACGCTACCTACGTACCCTCTCTGCTGTCAAGCCCCCTGTGGCGTCGAGGAAATGCCACGCCTGCCACGCCCTGGGAGCCTGCAGCGCACAGGGCCCCCACCCCCAGCGCACCCCCTGTGGCGTCGAGTGAATGCCACGCCTGCCACGCCCTGGGAGCCTGCAACGCACCACTCCGGTGTCGAGGAAATGCCACGCCTGCTAGGCCCTGCGACATTGGCGTGTATAGAGACCGCGGTGGGCCCCCACCCCCAGCGCACCCCCTTTGGCGTCGAGGAAATGCCACTCCTGCTAGGCCCTGCGACATTGGCGCGTATAGAGACCGCGGTGGGCCCCCACACCCAGCGCACCCCCTGTGGCGTCGAGGAAATGCCACGCCTGCGGGAAGGAGAAGGGGAGGGGGGAGGTGTGAGACGCGGGTGCGGCGCGGCAGGGAAAAACCAGAACCCCACGAAACGTGTGGGGAAAAACGGGAAAACGGGCGGAGGGGTAAAGGTATGGGGTAACTTTTCCTCCTCCGAATCTCGGGGATCGGCGGCGCTGCCGCGGCCCTCCTGCCCGTGCCGCACACCGCGCCGCGGCCGCCGGGCCAGTCGTCGGGCGCTGCCGTGCCATCGCTCGGACGCCGCTGCCCCGCGCAGTCTCCCCAGGAGGGTCCGCGGTGCTCCAAGATGGTGCAGAGCTCCTCCTCCGCCTCCTCCGCCTCCTCCTCCTCCTCCTCCTCCTCCCCCGCCTCCTCCTCCGCCTCCTCCTCCTCCTCCTCCTCCTCCTCCTCCTCCTCCGCCTCCTCCTCCTGCGCCTCCTCCTCCTCCTCCTCCCCCGCCTCCCTCCTCCTCCTCCTCCTCCTCCTCCTCATCCTCCTCCTCCTCCTCCTCCTCCTCGTCCTCCTCCCCTCCTCCTCCGCCTCCTCCTCCTCCTTCTCCGCCGCCTCCTCCTCCTCCTCCCCCTCCTCCCTCCTCCGCCTCCTCCTCCTCCTCCGCCTCCTCCTCCGCCTCCTCCTCCTCCCCCTCCTTCCTCCTCCTCCTCCTCCTCCTCCTCCTCCTCCGCCTCCTCCTCCCCTCCTCCTCCTCCCCTCCTCTCTTCTCCGCCGCCTCCTCCTCCTCCTCCCCTCCTCCCTCCTCCGCCTCCTCCTCCTCCTCCTCCTCCTGGCGCTGGCCGCGCCGAGAAGAAGGAGCACGTCCGGGCGGTGCCAAGCGGCCCGGTGGGGGGGCGATCCAAAGGGGGGAGGGGGCGGAGAAGCGCGCAGCCTTCTCGTGCCCCCACTTGGGGCCCCAAGGTGCCCCCGTGCAGGAGACTCGCGGCGCCGGCAAAGCTTCGGGTGGCTCGCAGACAGCCCTCCTCCTCCTCCTCCTCCTCCTCCTCCTGCTCCTCCTCCACCTCCTCCTCCTCCTCCTCCTCCTCCTCCTCCTCGTCGACCTCCTCCTCCTCCTCCTCCTCCTCCTCCTCCTCCTCCTCCTCCTCCTCCTCCTCCCCCGTGAAGGGCCCCAGAGGTGCACGACAGGCGCACCTTTCTTGTGCAAGTCCTGGGGGGTCTGCCTCTCTGCCGCACACACATCGGCGGTGGACAAACCTCCCTTTAGTAGACCTCCCTTCATTGAAAACGGCCTGGGACCGAAATCGACGGGCCTGGACCCGCAAAAACGACGGCCGCGACGCCCTCTCGCGAACCGGAAACGGCCAATTCTCGGATCGACGTGTCAAGGTAGGAGGTCTATCCACCTCCGATCTTACGGGCCCTGGCAGTCCGGGCGATGCAGCTTGGAAGCCGACGCCTATTCCAGATTTCGTAATACAAGGGAGGGGGTCTCAACCCTCCCAGACGAGAAGTTTTAGACCCCCCCCCCTGGGAGAACCCTCCAGAACATCGTCCCCAGACCCCCCCAGGCCCTCCAAGATACACGTCTTGAACGTGCGCGGAGGCGCTGGAAACCGCGCGACGCGGAGCTCGGCGGTCGCTGGGAAGCGCCCCTGAAGCGCTTCTGAAACGCTGACAGCGACGCTTCCACGCGTGCCTGCACGCGTGGGGGCTCGCTGCCCGGGAAGCTTCGCGGAGACCCCCCCCCGAAATGAGACTCCTCTCCCTTTCTCACGAAATCTGGAGTGCGCAATCCGTTTTGCCACCGCGCTGGCTCGTGCGGTTTGCGACCGGTGCCCTGGGGGCACCCCGGGCGGCGGGCGGGGACCACGACAGAGCTCGCCGCCGCGCCCCGCGCGGCGGCCCCACGAGGACGGCGTCGTGCCCTCCAGGCCCCAACGGCGCCGGTCGCGCAAACCACATCCCAGCGCAGCCACACCCCCTGTGGTCGCCGCACAGCACCCCTCCCTCCCGCCCTCCCTCCCCCGCTCGCCGCCCCCCCCCCCCCCCATGACGCAGCGCCCGACCGCTGTGCATGGCCTGGCCCGCCAGCCGTCGCTCACCGCGCGGTGTGGGAGGGATAGATCAGCGGGTTCATCTGGTGCACGCGCGGGAGAAGGGAAGGCACCAGGGCAACCGTCTGCGCGCCGCCGCGCGCCGCGCAGCGCGATCCTCGCCGCGCTCTCGCGCCGCCCTCCCCCCCCCGGGGGGGGGGCGGGGGGCTCGCGCCTCGCTCCGAGATCGCCCTGGCCGCGAAGGGCGACCAACTTCGCGCCCTCGTCGGTGGCCCTGAGACACGGCGCAGGCGCAGACTTTCGTCGGCGGCGAGCCCCAGGGGGCCCAGGGGGGAAGTGAGGGGGAGGAGGAGGAGGAGGAAGAGGAGGAGGTCGCCGAGGAGGAGGAGGAGGAGGAGGAGGAGGAGGAGGAGGAGGAGGAGGAGGAGGAGGAGGAGGGAGGAGAGGAGGAGGAGGAGGAGGAGGAGGAGGAGGAAAAGAAGAAAGGAACGGGAAAGTGAGAGCAGGCCCTCTCAGGAGGCGGCGGGGCTTCTCAGAAGCTCTCCGGCTTTCCGAGAAGCCGCCTGCGGCTCCGGAGAAGGCCGACAGGCCCTCGCGCCTTCTGAGAAGGCCTGCCCCCTCTCACTTTCCCCCGGGCTCGCCGCCGATCTCGGAGGTCCGCGCAGACTTCTCGGATCGGCGAGTCGACGACACGCAAGAGTGACCCTGGGTATGAGTGACCTTTGGTGCGCGGCTTCTGGGGGGGCCGCGGGGGGGGGGCCAAAAGCGAGCGCGCGAGACGCAATTATCGCATCGCGTTCGGCGATCGGGGGGCCCCGTTGGGCCCGCACCAAAGGTCACTCCGGCGAAAGGTCACTCTTACGTGCAGTCGAGCGAGGTTCGAGGTTCGAGGGTCGGCTTCCCGGTGTTTCGAGACATTCCTGGGGGGGCCTCGCGGCCACGGCCGGCTCCGCCTTGCAGTTCTGGCCAGGGCGCATCCCAGAAGACGACCAGCGAGCGCTTTCCGTTTGACTCGGCGGTGGACAAACCTCCCTTCAGTAGACCTCCCCTTAGTGAAAACGGCCTGGGACCGAATTCGACGGACCTGGACTCGCGAAAATGACGGCCGCGACGCCCTCTCGCGAACCGAAGACGGCCAATTCCTTAATCGACGTGTCAGGGTAGGAGGTCTACCCACCTCCGATTGACTCCCACGACCCCCCTCCGTCCCCCTCCCTGGCGCGCGGAGCGCGCCGATGGCCCAGCGCAGATCCACCAGATCCGGTCGGACCTCCGAACGTCTGTGTGACTGCCGCCCTCTCTTCTCCGACATGTAGACGAACGCCCAGAAGCATCCCATGCAGATGTCGGCGACTCCGAGGGGCGCGGCCTTCGGAGGGCGTGGCTTGCAGCCCGCGCCTGGGGGGGGAGGGCGGGCGAGGACCTCGACGGAGATCTCCGCAGTGCCCCGACGGGGGCCGAGCAAACCTTTGGCACCTGAGCCCCACTGGCCATCGCTCGGACGTCCATTTCCCGTGCATTTTTCGGTTCTGTGCGTGGCTTTTTCGCCAAATGATCAAGGATGCTCCTCGATGGTCCTCGCCGAAGGAAAAATGCACACGTCCGAGCGATGCCGAGCCCCAACGGCGCCGATCGCAAACCACAGCCAGGCGCAACCGCACCCGTCGCGGTCGCCGAAGATGGTCGAGGCCACCACGACGAGCGTCGCCAGCTCTTTGCTCTCCGCCTGGGGCTGTAAGGCCGTCCGGCCGCTGGCTTGGGCAGGGGGGCAGGGAGCAACCAAGCGAGCCCCCCCCCCCCCCCTGGGCAGGCCCGCCACCAGACCCAGTTCGGCTACACTGAAGGGGCCCTGGGACACACAAATAAATCTACACAAACAAAAGGATCCTCCATACCTATACGACCACCCTGCGGGTGATAAGGAGGTGAGGGGGGAGGGGGAACCAACGTCTCACTCAATCGATCTCGCTATCGATCTCACAATCGATCTCACATTCGATCTCACTATCGATATCACTATCGATCTCGCTCTCGATCTCACTATCGATCTCACAATCGATCTCACAATCGATCTCACGTTCGGTCTCACATTCGATCTCACTGTCGATCTCACTATTGACGCCATCATCATCATCACCATCATCATCATCATCATCATCATCATCATCATCATCATCATCATCATCATCATCATCATCATCATCATGTCGATCGTCATCATCATCATCATCACCATCATCACCATCATCACCATCATTACCATCATCACCATCATCATCGTCATCATCTCACAATCGATCTGACAATCGATCTCACAATCGATCTCACTATCGATCTCACTATCGATCTCACATTCGGCCTCACTATCGATGTCACAATCGATCTCACAATCGACGTCATCATCATCATCATCATCATCAACAACAACACCAACATCATCATCATCATCATCATCATCATCATCATCATCATCATCATCATCATCATCAGCATCATCAGCATCATCATCACCATCATCACCATCATCATCATCATCATCATCATCATCATCATCACCATCATCATCATCATAATCATCCACATCATCATCGGGACACCGACGGGACACCGACGGGACACCAGCGGGACACCGGCGGGACACCGCGCGCCACCGGCCGCCCGGAAGAGACACATTTGGTCCGGCCGCGCCTCAGCCACAGGGACACCGACGGGACACCAGCGGGACACCGGCGGGACACCGCGCGCCACCGGCCGCCCGGCGGAGAATCATTTGGTCCGGCCGCGCCTCAGCCACAGGAGACTTTCTCTCGCCCGCCCACGCAGCTTCGCCTCGCCCGCGCACGGCACGCACGAACACGAAACCGAAATCGATTTCCCGGTAGGGGGGCTCTCCGTTCCACTTCGATCTCACCCCCTCACCTCCGATTTTCCCATATTTTCTGGGTTTTTGTCTTCCCCCCCACTTCCCATATTTTCCCATATTTTCCCGGGATCGTCGATTAATTGTGTCTGTGTGTGTGTTTTTCCCTCCTGATACACGCAAGAGTGACCCTGGGTAAGAGTGACCTTTGGTGCGCGACTTTTGGGGGCCGCGGGGGGACCAAACCTATAGGCGCGCAAGCAGCTGCCACTGCTTCGTTGTCAGCCATCTGGAGACCCATCTGTGCCCGCGCCAAAGGTCACTCCGGCGAAAGGTCACTCTTACGCCTAGCCGACCGGTCCCACCACACAGGTGCCCTCGCGCCATCAACCTCTGACGACGGGAGGCTTCTCCTCGCGGGGCCCCGGGACCGTCAGGAGCGGCTCAGGACGAGAAGCCGGCCCCGGGGAACGGGTGGAGACCTCTGGGGGTCGAAGGAAGGAACGAACGAAGGCCAGATCCGCGCGCACGCCGCGCGGGCGCCCGCACGCGCCCGTTTGGGCGTGGCGGTGGAGGCTGCACCTCCGGGGGTCGAGGCTGTGACGAGATCGTGCCGTCGGGGGTCGAGGCTGTGACGAAATTGATGGGCCCGTTTTCCACCACCACCACCATGAGGTGGAGGAAGGAGGCGGAGCAGGAGGACGACGAAGAGGAGGAGGAGGAGGAGGAGGAGGACGAAGAGGAGGAGGAGAAGGACCCCCTCAAAAATCGTGCCGTCGGAAGTCTGGGGAGCCGGCCCCGAGCTCCTGCCCGCCGTGCCTGCAGTGCCTGGGGGGTCCCCAGTCCCGACGTCGGCGGGTCTCGAGGTCTCGCTTTCGCCTCGCAGGCCGAGGGCGCCCACGCGCAGAGCTTCTCAACCAGGGCGCGATGTCTGCGGTCGTGCGTGCTTTGGCATCCGGGATGTCTTCCGAGCGGCCGACGGCTTCTGCCAAGAAGCCGAGAGGCTCCCAGGAGGCGACTCTGGCGAGTCCCGGAAGGGCCTAAAAGAGAGCCCACATCCCTGAAGATACCTCCGGAGTGCACGAGAGGTCGCTGAGACGAGGGCCACAAGATGTGACTCCGATGGTCTCCGAGGGCACCAAGAGGAGTCAACATCCCCGAGAAGCACCCAAGACCGTAAAACAGAGAGAGCCCCTAGCGAGACGGCCCAGTTGGGCCCCAAGAGGCTGGCGAGAGCCTCCCAAGAATAGTACCACTAACACCTCGCTGTGCGATGGCTCGGCGGGCCGCTCCGCTCCGTGCTCTCTCTCTCTCTCTCTCTGCCGTTCCCCCTCTCCGTGCTCGGCCGCGGCGGACCAGACCGTGCCGCGCAGCAGCAGCGCCGCGCAGCACGACGCCGTGCAGTGCCGACGGCCAACGAGGCAGCGGTCAGGGAGACCAACGAGGCAGCGGTCAGAGGAGGAGGAGGAGGAGGAGGAGGAGGAGGGAGGAGGAGGGAGGAGGGAGGAGGAGGAGGAGGAGGAGGGAGGAGGAGCGGAGGAGGAGGAGGAGGAGTGCAGGGCAGGGCGCGCCCACCCGCGAGACCAGCGCGGCACGGGGAACCGCCGGCCACCCGTGCAGTGCTCCCGGGCCTGCCCCCCCCCTCCCCCCGGCTGCGACCGGGGCGGCCTCGGGGAGGCACCGAGGCGGAGAAGACGCGGGGAACGGAAGGCCACTGGCACGATAGGGAGGACGCAGGCCCCGGTGGCGAGGGAAGCGCCCCCGGCTGCGACCGGGGCGGCCTCGGGGAGGCACCGAGGCGGAGAAGACGCGGGGAAGGAAGGCAACTGGAACGAGAAGAGGACGCAGGCCCCGGTGGCGAGGGAAGCGCCCCCGGGTGAAGGGCACGGAGGCGAGGAAGAAGAGGAAGAGGATTATGATCATGAGCAGGAGTAGAAGGAGGAATCACTTGGGCAAGCGCACTTCCTTTGATAACTGGCGGTGAGCGGCCATCTATCCACAACCAGATGAAATCAAATCCCGTATCAAACATGGCCGACAATAACATATAGAAGCACATGGTACTACGCCCGAACAAACAAGGATCGACCGCAAGCGGCCACACGAAGCCAAACCTCACTGGGCAGGGCCAGTCGTTAGACCACGCATCAAGCGAGGGAAACTCTGGTCGCTGGATCGGCCAGTAGGGACACGCGACACGCTCAGAAGCAGCTGCTGGCAGATCCCGCCTCAATTCGGATCGCTGCGCGTGGTCGTTCCAGTGCCCCCTTGGCCCCCGACGGTGACCAGACGACCATGTCAGAGGAAGAAAGAACATCTGTGGGGGAAAAGCACACACGTGGGGAAAACACCCACACACACACACGACTGTGTGTTTTTTTTCCCCCACAGTGTGTTTTGTACATTTTTCCCCACGTGTGTGGGTGTGTGTGTGTGGTGTGTGTGTGTGTGTGCATGTGTTTCTTTCCCACAGTGTGTTTTTCCCCACAGTGTGCTTTTTTTCCCCACCGAGTGATTTTCCTTACAGAGCATGTACTTCCAGAGGCTCGCGCGGATGGCCTGGGCCCGCGCCGACCCCCTCCCCCGCCCTGGCACACAGAGCGCGCCGCGGGGGCCCAGCACCCGCCCAGGAGATCCGCGCGGAGCGCCAAAACCTGATGCTCACGCCGCTTTTTCTTTTCCTCGAGGCCATGGGCCTTGGTGCACTTGGGCGACTCCTTCACGAAGCACGCCTGCGCCACGACCCGCGCCAGGACCCCGAAGACGGCCCAGCAGGCGGCCCCGGCGTAGAGGCCCGAGAAGCCCACCTGCACCGAGACCACCATCGAGGCAGAGGGGCCCGCCCGCGCCCGGCCGGGCCTCCGAGGGAGCTGCCGCGGCTTGGGCCAAGCGGGGCGTCGGGCCGATAGGCAAACAGCGCAGTGGCGACCGATCGAACCACTCCCTGGGCAGATAGGGTCCTGGGTGGAGGGGGGATAGTGCCGATAGGCAAACAGCGCAGTGGCGACCCGTCGGGGCAGATAGGCAAACCACTCCCTGGGCAGATAGGCAGAATGGATCGATGCGCAGGAGCGAGCAAAGAAGCGCACACGTACCGTACGTGCACCCACGCTGGTTTCGAGGGCACGCACTGCGCGAACGTTCGTCTCACGCGGCTGGCCTCGCGGACTGGAATGCCGCATTCGTGTACGTGGTTGGGCGCGTACGTCCTTTGTGGGAGCCCTAGATAAGCAAGGAACTAAGTCACACATCACAAAAGCGCCAACTTTCGGAGGTCCAGCGCAGATCCCAGAAATTCGCGCTGGCCACCGAAGTTGCATGTTTATGCAATTTCTCCTCTTCGATATGGACCGACGGGTCGATCATCACGGAACTCCCCAAACGTCCGACGGATCGCTCACTCCTTACTGGCGTCTCGCGGGGGTCCGGAGGCTTCTGAAAAATGGTACTCCAGATTTCGTAATAAAATGGAGGGGATCTCAACCCTCCCAGACGAGAAGTTTTAGATCCCCCCCCCCGTGGGAGAACCCTCCAAAACATCGTACCCAGACCCCCCCAGGCCCTCCAGGATAGCCTGGAAGAGACCCCCCCCGAAATGAGACCCCCCTCCCTTTATCACGAAATCTGGAGTAGAACAAAAACCACAGGACACCACAAGGGTGACGGGGAGCCCTGGACCGCCCAGTCCGACAGCCGTTCCGCGTGAGACTTCCTCACGCTGTACAGTCGGGGCATTGACCTAATGAACCCTAGATAAGGAACGAGGCCCCTATTCTCGAGAAGTTGAACTTCGATTTCCCATCGAAAATATAAGGAAAACCTGAGGCAAGCTGTCGAACAATTAAGGAGCACGGAGCCCCTCCCCAACGAAAAGGGTTCCTTCTTCAGCGCCCCGGCTGTATTCAAGAATCGTGCCCTCGCCTCAATGCCAAATGCGTCGTTGGTCCGGGCGGCCACGGTCCGAAGACACAAACACACCAAAGTGTACAAGGCCGTGCTCTCACACCAGATCCCGGCTGCATCTTAGACCCTTTGCCGACCTCCGAATGACCCCATCGACCCGCCTCTTCATCTCTGCTGCTATGCAAGGCTTGTGTAATTTTTCCACACGCACACACACACGTGGTCGGCCTCTGGAGTTTTAGATTCTACTCGTGGGGTCGCCTTCTCGCCGCGGGCTGATGATTGATGGCCTCGGCCCGAAGAGAGCTCTTGGAGGCCCAAATTCAACACGTTCTTGGTTTAAGCGGGGGAGGAAGCGGCGAACAAGGAACGAGGCGTAAGATAAGGCCAAAGGGGATGGGCGACGGGCAAGGATATTCGGGAGGGAAAGGGAAAGGACAACACCGCGGAGGTAAAATAAGTCGGATCAGTATGATAACTTACGCTGGCAACTCAAAGGGAGGAGGAGAGTGTGCGAGGAGGAGGCGGCACAAGAAGGCGTAGGAAAGAGAAGACACGATAATAGCATGGTGGAAGAGGAGAAGAGGACGGAGCACGGGAGAACAAACGGATCAAAGGGAGGGGAGGACCATATTGAGAGAAGACAAAGTGGGGAGAGGAGGAGGGGCAGGAGGATAAAGAGGGGGCAAAGGGTGCGCGTGTGTGTTTAAGGAGGCCTGAACATAGAGGGTGCCTAAAAACCTTTAGGTTGATTTGGCCCTTTCCTGATACAGTTCTTGGGAAGATGAAGATATTTTTGCAATCCACCAGAAAAGAAACGATGATGCAAGGCGCCGCAAAATAAGTCCTTCTGTATTCCGCAACAAACGGAACACTTCTGTATTCCGCCATGGGAAGAATCTGTTTGTGTTCCGACACCGAGAGGAACCCTTTTGAATTCCACCATCGACAGAAGCCTTTGGTAGTCCTCCACGGAAGGAATCCTGGTTTAAATTCCGTCACAGAATGGATCCTCCGGCATTACGCCACCAAAGGAATCCCTGTGTAATCAGCTACACATCAAACGCTAAAGAGATGACTGCAACGACTGGAACGCACGCGTGCTCAAAACAGTTTAACCACTTGCATAAGCAGAACATGAATTTTGCCTGTACCCGCACTGCTCTTTCGTTCTTTTGATATTAAACGGTTTCTTCAATATGCAGGCACACAGGCCAAAGCTTGTTAAAACGATTCTCCAACGATGGCAACGTGAAAACTAATAATAAGCTATTAAGTGCTGCGCAGGCACAAACGAAACCGACATGTTTGATAATGGCTAAGGGAAAGCGCTGTGCTTTCACAACTGTTTCCTGTTAGTCAACATGAGCTGTGCTTTTGTTTGCGCAGCTTTGCTTTAACTGGTTTAATCTAGAATCTGGTTGTTGGTCAGTCGCAGGCGCAATTATCATATTTTTAGTGACTAAATGTCCAATTATGCCAACTTGAAAACGAATAGCAACGGTTAAAGCTGTGCAGACACAAGCGGAACCAACTTCATTTAATCCCAGAATGCAGAAAAGACGCGTGTGCTTTCACAGCTTTTCCAAAACCGACTAGCCATAGTAAGAAAATCATGCAGGAAACTGTGGTAGCTGTGCGTGCGCATGAAAACCATGTTTTCAATCAGAAAGGGCTTAAGCAGAGCAGTCACTCGCAAAACTAATGCTTTTAGATCAAACTAGGCCAACAGCTGTGCGAGCAGATGTCTTTCACTCATTCAACAAGTCTGAATAGCGTTCATGTTGTGGCAGATTGCAAACGGATTCCTTTTGCGGCGGAGTGCGGCGGAGTACAAAGGATTCTTTTTGTGGCGAAATGCACTAGGATTGCTGTCGTGGCGGAATAGAAAACAACGCCTCTGGTGGCGGAAGATAACAAGATTCCTGATGCGGCTGGGGTACACAAGGATTCTCTCCCTGGCGGCATACAATGATGGTGAAGGAGAGAACCCCACAACTCGGACATCTTCATGTTGAAGGTGATATGTTTCTACATTCGGGCGGCATTCTGCCTTCTGCCATCTTTCGTTCGGCCCGGGGCACTGCGAGGTCAAAGAAAAGGGAGGAACACATTAACGTTGACTGTGTGGATGATCACTCCAAAAATCTTCGTTGTCACTCCAATGGCGGCAGACCATGCGGTGGCTCGCAGCCATCCTGGGAGTGCTGGCGAGCAGCCAGCCTAAGGCCTAACGAAGAGGACAGAGCAGCCACCGTCGGAATTCTGCTGCGCAGGCGTGGAGAAACACGGCGACGGCGACGCCGACATCTTGCTAGCGGACCCCTGCCCCATGAATCACGCCTTGTCACTACTGCGTGCGAGCTGCGCGCGCCAGTGTCTCGCCAGCACGTCCGGCAGGCAATAAATCTTGTCGCGCGAGATGCATCTCGTAAGAGAGACCATCATGTTGCCCACCAAGCTCCAACGCGCGTTCCGAATCCAGAAGATTGCCCATAGCACGGGGTAGCGCCGTCCCAACATCGACTTGGTGGCGTCTCCCGCCAGCAGCGGGCCATGCTGCGCCCGACGAATTGCTGGTGGGCCTGCGAGTCGGCAACACGCCCGTGGTCTGCGGGGGCGACCGCTCCGAGCGGAAGAGCTGGAGCTCCAGGAGGAAGCAGCGCCTCCTGGCGCCGGACGAGAGCCGCTACGTGGAGGTCGCCCAGGCGGAGGCGAACCCGCCCAGAGAGATCAACGCGGCGGCCTTGGTGCCACACGCCCAGAGAGGCGGGCGCGGCAACTCGCGCCCGCGCGGGCAGAGCGTGCGAAGGACACCGCGCTGGCGGCGGTGACGAAGCCGAGGGGCCCGAGCAGCCGACACGAGGCCTGCAGGCGCCTCCTGGAGGAAGGGGAGCCCTCCTCCTCCTCCTCCTCGTTCCTCCTCGTCCTCCTCCTCGTTCCTCCTCGTTCCTCCTCGTTCCTCCTCCTCCTCCTCCTCCTCCCCTCCTCCCCCTTATTCCTCCTCCTCCTCCTCCTCATCATCCTCCTCCTCCTCCTCCTCCTCCTCCTCCCCCTCCTCCCCCTCCTTCTCCTCCTCCTCCTCCTCCTCCTCGCACCTCTGGTTCGAGGGAGATCGAGGCCAGACCCAAAAGAAGTTCGAGAGGCCCGTGAGACAGTGCGAGGCCCGATCGAGTGACAGAGTTCAGGACACGATCACGGCATCAGCGATCGCGGACAAGCCCGACGACAACGAGTGGCGCAAGCACGTCAAGCTGAACGCGACGAGGCTGCAAGACTACGCGGCGCTGAGGTATGAGTGCAAAGCCGTGTGCGAGACCGCGCGCGACTGCAGAGTCGACGATCCCATGGAGGTCGACGCTGTCACAGGCAAGGGCAAGGGCAAGGGCTCCAAGGGCAAGGGCAAAGACAGGGACACGAGGGGTGAAGGCAAGGACTTCAGAGGCAATGGCAAGGACAGGCCGAGCAACGGGGAGTCGAAGGGCGGCACAGACGGCAAGAAGTGCTTCTTCTGCCAGGAGAATCAACACGTTCGCAAGGACTTCCCGAAATGATCGGCCTGGCCGGAGGAGGAGGAAGGCCACGGCGGCCCAGCGGCACCTGAGGACACCAGCACGATCTGGGAGAGCCACGACGACAGCGGCTGGATCTTCATGACATGCGATGAGTCCGGGAGGAGGAAGCCACTACCTGAAGTCGTCGCAGTCGTCGGCGTTTCTCTCGGCCTCGTTTTCCACGACGACAATCTGCAGGCACGAACTGGACGCGACCGGTGGCGATCATGCTCCTGGAGGCCTCTCCGGGAGCATCAGGGTCAGACGAGTTGCGCGAGGCGGACGAGGTGTGCGAACTGATCATGCCAGACTCGGGAGCTGCCGCGCACGTCTGCCCAGAAGACCATGCGAAGGAAAACGGCCTGCGGACCCGGAGAAGCCACTACTGGCGGCCACGGGGGCGCCGATCACGCAGCACGGCAAGCGCAAGGT